CCCGTCCCATGCCCAGCAGAAAGGCCAGAGCCGAGCTCCCAGCAGGAGCATCCCTCCAAACACACACGAGGGGACAGCCCCATGTGCCTGTGTCACTACTGCTTTGACGCCTGCTCAGCCCGTCTCCAAACCCGCTGCCTTGATTCTTTCTGTGGCAGTCACTCAGGCGGGCACAGTTGTTATTAGACAGATAATCGCTTCCTTGAAATAATTTCAGCACTCAGCTCTAATAAAGAAGATTTCTTTGCAAGGACCCTTGGTGAAAGGGGCTCAGCGCTGCTCCCTGCACGGTGTGGGTCAATTGGGTTCTGCTCTGTCCTCTCTCCAGCCCAGCAATTGCCTTTCACCCACTGAAGAGCAGCCCAGGACACCCACCCAGGGCCAGCCTTGAATTCTCGCCTAAATAAAACCTTGACATCTGAAATTCTGCTGCCTTACCCCTGCCCCAGCAAAGACTTGGTCACGATCCTGGAACATTAATGTTGTATTGGTTGAAACCCATCCCCTGGCAGGGAAGGTCAAGGGAAGGTGGCAAACACCTCAGTGCCAGAGGCTCCTGCAGGGCAGTGGTGATGGAGCCGTGTGGGAAGCGGTGCTTCCCGCTGGGATGTGCCGGCCTCTCTGCAGGACTGGGCCATGGCTGTGTCACCCATCCCACAGGATCCTGGCAGAGATGCCAGGGAGAGGCCATCCAGCTGGAGAACTGGGCAGCACCAGGAGTCCCCAGGTTGTACCCAACAACCTATGGAATTCCAGCAGCAGGCTCTGACAGACCCTGTGCTTCTCCAAGGTGACTTAAGCCCTCATCCAGCTGAAGACACTTTCCTCTGTACATCTGGGACCTCTGGAAGCTTGAGAAAACATAGTCATTTTCCTTTTATATTCAAATAAACAAACCAAGCGTTTCAGCTCCTGTTCAAAGGCGGAGTGTGACCCAGTTTCACACACAGAGGCACCTGAGAGAAGGAGAAATTCAGTGTCTCTCCCCCAAAGTGAATTGACACCGACATCCAGGCAGGGGTGGATCCAGCACCATAGATTCTCTCCACGGCTGCCCAGCCAGGCTCCTGGTGCAGCCCTCCAGCAGCCCCCTTCCCAACACACCAGCAGGCTGGAGGGCTTGGAACAGGTTTGGAAGCTTGGTTTGATCACCGAGCCAGCTCCATGTGGCCTGTTGTGCAAAGCCAGCCATTCCCAGGTGGATTTTGGGGCGAGGAGCCTGTGGCTGCCGGCACGCGGCGCACGGGGCTCTCGTGGCCCACCAGGCACCGTGGGTGCGTGGGAGATGCTCACGTGTGTGAAGCATCTTCTCAGGCTCACGCTCGCTGTGAAAAAGGAAATAAAAAGAGTCTCCCCCCTCCAGCTGCCTTCGGCATCTCCTTTCTAATAACTTGGCATATTCACTTAATACAGGCCAGCTCCTTCCAAGTCGTTAGCGGCGGCGGGAGACACAGCCGGAACGCTGACCTGGTTTGCTTGCCAAGACAGAGCAAAGAGAAACCTTCACATAATCATTTCCAAACATTAAAATGGCTCCATTGTCATTATAGCTGAGAGATTGAATTCGCCTCATCAAAGCGGCGTATGACAGGTGACTCAATAGGCTGGTGCCAAGCGCGGAGGCAGGAGATTAGCAGGGCACTGATATCATTATTTCCGCCTATCACAGATTCGGCAGGGAGGCAATTGTAATTTCTGGGCTTATTAGTCTGCATTCGCAGGAAAAAACCTGGTGATAAACCTCAGTGTGACAGCCAGGCATTTGTGCAGCAAGTGCTGTCACAGTGACACTTGGAAAATGCCAATGTGGATACGTTCTCCTAATCCCCCCTAATGGAGGTTAAAGCCTGGCACAAAGGCACTCTTATCACTGATCGGGACACTAATAACATTTGCATTTTTAAGTTAAATATAGTAAGTAAAGAGTAAGTCTCCTCCTCGCGGCTTCGGCAATTAACTCAGCCTCGGAAGGATGAAAGCCGAGCGGAGATTCCAGCCGGCCGGGCTCTCCCCCACGGCGGGTCAGCATTCCCGGAGCTCCCACCTCCACTCTCGGTGCTCTCCGTGTCCCGGGATGGCACCTGCCAAAGCCAGATCCTTCCGGGGCTTTCACACACTTTTACAAGTAGTTTTGCTTCGGATGGACAGAACTCTTAGGGTTTTTTTTTCTGCCCCACGGTGCCAGCTGGGCTTGGGGCTCCTGTGGGAATTCCTCCCGGACACGAGCCCAGCACGTGTGACACGGACATGCACACACACGCTCTCCACAGGAATTTCTTAAGGAAAAGAATAATTACAGGTGGTAAACTGTTACTTTTCCACATTTAAATAAGAGACCAATTAAGAAGACTATGTAATTCAATTCTGGAGTGAGTGCCACTGAATTCAATTTGTTTCAGGTCAATGAATATAATGTGAAGTTATTAACAAAAAGGTCAGGGACTGCATATAAAATATACACACATGACACAGGCAGAGTAATTAGTACACATTTCACATGTTCTGCTGCTCAGACATATGGTGTAGAAAACCTGAGCGGGATTAGATGATAATAAATGTTCCCCTCTCCCTCCCACCAGCTCCCTATTTAAATAGGGTTTATGGCTATTTCCCCGGTGTTCCTGGGATCTGCCGGAGGCTGAGGACCCACAGCCCACACAGCAGCTCTGGGCAAAGCTCCCAGGAAAGCTGGGACTCTCCCAGGGTGAGAGATCCCCATGGAGCAGCTCAAGCCACAAGCCAGCACGTGCTGGTGCAGGGACAGTTTTTGGGGACCTCGCTCCTCACACGCTGCTCGTCCCCAGGCCATGCCAACAGTCACACCTTTGTGGTGCCCTCACCAAGAATTACTGTGTTTCTCCATGCCTGTTTGCTACAGGTGCACACTCAATGTGAAGTTACTGCATTAATGACAATAAAACATTCAAATTATACAGTTAAGTGGTGGTTGAATTTGGAAAAGTCCATGACACACATTAAAAAAAAAAAAAAAAAAAAGAAAAAGAAAAAAAAGAAAAAAAGGAGGATAGTAAAGCCCCAAACACCTTTTTGGCCCTGAGTCTGAGTATTGGACACCTGGATTCTCTTGCAGGTAAAGGTAGGGGAGGAACATGAGGACTTGGGGAAAATTCCTCTGAAAGTTACAGGAAGAAATCCCAAGGTATGAGAATTTTGCCCTGCACCAGAGGTGCTCTGGTGTCCAGTCAAACCTGCTAGGGATTCTCTGCTGGTAAAGGATAACCCAGATGTTATGGTTTGTGTGTGCTCCAGCATTTTCCTTGGCATCCTATGTTCAGAATGAGATACACAACCCATTTCCCAAGTTATGCTTTACCTCCAGTGTGGCCTGATGTGCTAAGGAAATGAAGCAGCTTGTGTGTTTTGACTAATAATTACCATTTACTACTGAACCTGGGAGCAGAATCCTCAACTGGAGATATTTATTTTAGCCATCATTTCTGTAACCCATCATTTGGGTTTTGTACAGCTGGCTGCAGAAAGCAACAGGAAAAGCAGGAGGTGGAGAGCTCCAGGAATGGTAGGGACAGCCCTGGATGCAGACACGTTTAGGATTTGTCTGCAAAGAGGGAACTGTGAAGCAACATTGGCTCGTACAGGTTCAGGGGTGAATTACACCTGAGATGGGTGTCTTAATTAATGTTGCCTTGGCCAGGCATTCCAGTCAGGATCCCATCTCCAGAGCAATCAGCAGGATTCTCTGGGTTTGCTCCGAGGAGAGCCAGGTTAGTGCTCACGGGACAGCCTGTCCTTAAATCAGGGAGAGGGGCCTCGTGAGGTCTGCACTGGCCACAGCTCAGCTCTTCAGCTGCCTCGGCCTGTCCCTCACCCCATTCCTCCCTGCAGCAGCCCCTGGGGGACACCCCATGGGGATCCCACTGGGAGATGGGGCTGCACAGCAATCCCAGGCACGGCAGCAGCCACTCCCCGCAGGTGGCACCTCCCAGGCACAGCACAACCTCCCCGGGCTGTCGGGACGAGGTCTGATCAGTGATGCTGAAAATTCCCAAAATCCAGCACCCCATATTCATCCACAAGAAGAGGAGGGGACAGAGGAAGGACAGCTCAGCAGGTTGCTGAATATGTCATGTGGAGACGCCAAAAAAAAAAAAAAAAAAAAAGGCAAACAAATGATAAATCTATTTTGTTGTTAATTAAGAAATCATTCCCTCCTAACCGGCCCCTTTGCTCTCCCCCTGATTCCCTGGTCTTTAAAAGCACTAAAGCAATTTACTCTCCATTTTACTGTTTGGCTGTGTTGGAAGAGAACAAATAAATAAAAAGCAGGGAAACACCTACACGAAACCTTTGTTTTTTTCTTTTCCCCCCCTTTCCTTCTGAGCCCTCTCTTTCTCCACACACTAAAACCCCACGGCACGGGCTCCCCAAACCTCCCCACGACCGCAGCGGAGACTCCGCTGTCCCTCGCTGCCTCGGGATGGGTTTTTTGGAACACCCCAGGGATCTGCTCCGTTTTCCCAGCCGGGGGGTGGGAGCAGACCTCCCAGGCTGGGGCCACCGCGGCGGCCACGCGTGCAGGGGACACCGCGCTCCCCGCTCCCTGCCCGGGGGTCGGCGCCCCCAGCTCCGCAGCCTCTCAGCGCTGCCGCTCCCCGGCGCTCTCATTAACTGAGGATTGCGAATGGGTCAGCAGATCTATACACTTTTGTGTTCCTCGGCCCGCTTTATTTATTTCTTTCTTTTGCACGGTGCTGAATAACTAACCTTTCCCTCAATAGGCAGATTTAAAAAAAAAAAAATAGGATCCATCACACAGCAGCAGGATAGCCTTGCTCTGTTTTGACCTTTCTGAAATTAATTTCCCAATCTTAGCTTTCAAAATCAGAGATTGAAAAGACCTATTAGATCAGCCAATCCATCTTATCACTGGTACGGCAGCAAGCAGAGACCCCAGCCAAGTGCTTCTCTATGCAGGGAAAATATTCTGGAATAAGATGGGGCATGAATTTAAAGTGAAATACCTGTTCTGGAATATTCTGCACGTGGACACGTACTCTGGAATAACTGCAGCTGATCCTGACTTTACTCAGTTGACACCTGGAGCCGTTCACTGGAACAGAGGGGAGATAAAAAAATTCCATTTTAGGTTAAGAAGTAATTTTTGTGGGGTAGCTCCGGGAAATAATTCTCCCCCAACCCTTTTTTCCCAGGCAGGCTGTCGCTCACAGGGCAGCACCACTGGGAAGGAGAGGGATGGGTGCTCAGGGAAATTCCCCCCTGACCTGTGAGGATGTGGATCAGGACACAAAATTCTGGTCTGCAGCTGCTCCAGGAGGCTGGGATGTTAACAGGCACCTCTCCCAACCTGCAGTTTAGCTCCTTTTCTGGGAACACTGCTCTTCTCAGTGTGTCCCTGCTTTTCCAGACAGCAAAAAACTTGGGGTTAAAACCCAGTTTGTAGCACCCCAGCTGCCCTGGCCAGCACTGCCAGCCCACGGTGGGGGTCCCCAGGAAGGCCCCTTGGTGAAAGGAGTGCTCCTGCTGCCACACATCCCTCTCCTTCCATTCCCCTTGGAATCCCTGGGGCTCTGAATGTTGTGTTTTAATGCCAGCAGTGTTGATCTGGAGGGAACAGGTCACCACCCTGTGCTGACCTTGGTGTCCATCTCCACCCTGCCCCTCACTGCCCAGCAATGCCTGACAGGCTTGGACATCTCCAGTGTGGCATTCCCAGGCTCCTGGGGATGCCTGCGAGGTTTGGACGCACAGGGCAGCACCGAGGGCAATCCTGCTTCAGGAAAACGAAGCAGGCCTTGCAGCAGGTCTGGTCACACCACCCTGCCCAACTCTGGCCATGCCCCAGGTGGTTCAGGGAGGTGGCTCCAGCAGCACATGGAGCCCAGGTGTGGCCTGTCCTTGGCTGGAGTGACGCCACAGTCACACAGGGACAGGGAGAGCCACCGGCGACGCAGAGCCGTGCCGTGGCTGTCGCCGATATCGGTGTGGGAGACAGGAGAATGCCTTCCAGGTGTGTGGAAAGGAGCTTCTCCCCATGAAATGTGATGGGAAGGAACCTCTGCCGACACCTGCAGTGAGGGTGTGCGCTGAGGAGCCGGGAGTTACAGCAGCCTGGCAGTTTAAAGCCCTGCTGCATTTCCTATCAGCGCTGTGCTTCGGTGAGCAGCTCCGAGACTTTTCCCATGGAAACCCCCCTGTTCTGCCTCGGCAGCTCCTGCCCTGTGCACCCACCACGCCGGCGGGAAGAGCCGCCACCACCCCCTGCTCGGGGAGCACCGGGAGCACACAGCAAACTTTGGGCACTCAACAAGTCCTCTCCGCACACAGTCAGGGCCAAAAGATCAATATTGACACTTTAGATGATTTCTCTCAATTTGTTTTTTCTTCAATTGTTGGGGCAAAGTTCCACTTTTCCAATATCTTGGGTTCTCGGCTAATAGAAACAAATAAAGTGAAAGCTTCTGTCCACAATGGGTGAGGAGCATCCATTGTCAGCAGGCGCTAATCGGATTAAATTGTCTCCTGGCTCTATTGCTCGGGGATAACTCACTCCTAAATTTTTTCCCATCTCAAGGGGATGGGCCATTGTTGCCTTTCCCCCACTCTTTTTTTTCCCATTTAAATCTGACAGATAGAAGGAGGAACGGCTGGAGCTGACGGCGGTGCCTGGGGAACAAAGAGCGGAGCCCAGCCCGGGGCTGGTGCCGGCCCCCAGGCCCTGTTCCCGGCCACAGCCGCTCGGGCATCGCCGCCGCTGCCCTCTGGAAAACGCATTTAAAGCCCGGACGCGGCCAGGCAGGGGGAAAAAAAAAACAAAAAACCTGCGGCTGTCCACGCTCAGGTCGCTCCCCATTAGCATTTTAATCCGTATCCCTGGCGCAGCCCCTTGGAAGGAGCGGCGGCAGCAGCCGCGTTCCGGCCAGCAGCCCGAAGAGAGAGGCGGCCTTAAATAATGCCACCTTCGGAGGGAGGCCCCGCCAGCCGCCAGCTACATTTTGCCCAGAGTCTGATAATTTTCAAAGCTATTGGCAACCTGGGAATTTTCCTGCCTTATCACCAGGGCTCAGCTAACTTCACTAACACTAATCAGAGCTGGAATCATTCATTCAAGGATTGCATGATCATGTTTTTCTTTAGCGGTGACAGCTGCCTGAGCCGCATTAGCAATGCAGATGAGTCAGCCTAATAGGTTAATGCAGAACACGCGAAAATTAGGTTTAATCCCCAGTGAAATAATCTAACATTTTCACATTTCTTGATGTTGGGATAGAGACATTGGTGGTGACTCAATTAGGTGTAATGTAGATCAAAGCAAATTTACCTTCTGGCTGAACCTTCCCCGTAGTTTAGATAGAAGAATATAAGGGTTCTTTACTAATTGGCCAATGGCTGTGGGGAGAATTACACGGAAAGTGCAGGAATCGCGCCCGGATCGGGGTCTGGAGCGGGGCACGGCCGGGCTCTGCCAACAGAGCAGCCCCTGCTCCTCTCCGCGCTCGCAAATGAAGACGTCTGGGGGCTCTTCTGTAGTTTTATTTTACTCCCCCCGCCGCCTCCCCCATTCGTTTTTAATGTCCCGTGCCGCAATATCCCCGGCGAGGTTTGAAAGACCTTGTGTGATAAAAGGAGCGTATAAAGGAGAGGAAGAACCCCACCCACCGGTGCGCGCCCGTCTAATGTTTTCATTCCCGGGGAATAACATATCAAACAGCAATCGCTTTCAGTCATAAAGGGAGGGGAACAAAAAATTACATGCCCTCAGTTGCCAAATTATTTTTTTGCCTTGACATCTTAATTCTTAATCCTTGTGTGTGGTCAAATCAGCCTACTATAGACAACCAATCAAGCAATTATTCCTAAATTATATTTGCCCAGCTCACATTGATTGGTTATTCTTTTCTTATTGGGTAAGCTCATTAATTCCGAGCAGCTTGCTTATTATGCTTTCCACATCATTTTCCTTCGGAGCCTATCTACTCACACCAGCCTGCTGATGTTTCAAGATGCCACGCAGAAAAAAAAGGCCGAGTGATCTATTGCATTGTCTCTTCCAGCAATTACAATTCACATTGCTGATTAACTTTGATGTGAAAACTAATGAGATAAGGCAAGTTATCAAGGCGGACCTGATCGTCATCTCATTTATAGAGCATTTGCCATCAGTGAATGACAAAAACTAATGAAGATGTATCTGACAGCAGGCTGAGCCGCGGCCGAATTTCGTTTCTCATCAGCGAGTGCTCTGCTTCGAACTCATCAGTCTATCTGAAACATGTGGAAATTAGCTTAATAATGAAAACACTTCATCCAAATAGACAAATGTTTACATTAAAACAGCTACGTGATAAATAGATGTTAAAGATTTTATGCCTTCTTGAGTCTAAACAATGGAGCACAAAATATGTTCTCATATTCACTAAATCATGCCCATAAAGCTCCCTCCCCACGTGCCGCTGCCGTACCTGCGGGCTCCCCTCTCTGTGGCTCACGGAGATTGCGGGGCTGCGGCTCCGGCGCTTCGGGCTCCAACTCAGGGATGCCCGTGCCAGGACTGGGCAGGGAGAGGGGGGCTGGCCCTGCCCACACCTGGGGCACACGGCTCCCAAAAGCAGCTTTTTTTTGGTGCTTTTTTACTCAGAGGTGCTGAGCTGTACACTGACATTTACCCAGCGTAGAAAAGGGATCCGGTTGGCCCCCACGGAGTGTAAAGTACAGACATAATTCATGCAAACACAGCAACGTTTCTTTCCTGAGCCGTCACCAAAAAGCCGCCTGCAGTATCAGTCTAGTTTAGAAATGTTGTGATAAAAGGGAGGCAGGCAGAGCTGCTCCCATTTTTAATATTGTGGCTTTGGTATCTTTATTTATGAGAGACTATTTCATATTTGTCGGGCACTATTTCACACGCTTCTGCTATGTCCAAACGTATCCCCAAGATGTTTTCGTATCTGGAACAAAATATTCCTCCACAATACTGGTATCAGAACAACACTGTTTTTAATAAAAAAGACAGGCATCTGCAAGGCAGAAGGGTGAAACTCTCGCTTCAAAAATTATTCTAAAAACTGCGATACTTCAATTAAAATAAAGAATTGGTAAAATATTCTCTTCCTTTACCATGATATTTCCCTCTCCCTGAAAAATCTATACGGACAGGCTATAAAGCATTGCCTCCTCCAGGAAAAAACCCAAATCCAAGCAGGTTATCCCCAACGTAAGAGGAACTTTAAATTTGATTTAAAAAAAAATATTATCCAAGTGGACTGGAGAGAAAAAAAAAATTAATAAAACAACCTAAAAAAAAGAGAACCTTTGCAGAAAAGGCACAGGATCTCCTATAAATCCCGCGCAGCGATGGCTCCGTGCACACACGTGGAAAAGCCGGCTGGGCTGCCGGCGGGTCGGGCGCAGCGCCGAGGTGCCCCCAGCCCCTTCCCTCCGCCCGGCACTCCCCGCGTTCCCTGGCTCGGCCGGGAGCACATCCCGGGGGCGGCCCCGAGCTGCCCCGGCCCCGGGCTGCCCCGGCATTGTGCGGCGCAGATTAGCCCGCACAAAGGGCCCGCATCCCGGCTAAGTTAAAAGAAAAGCCTGCTAGGAAGCGCCGGCGACAAATTACTACTTCAGCGCTGGATTAAATGTAAAAGCCCTTCACAGAGCTGCAGATAAATCCTGCGCGCTAGAAGGAACCATAAAAGTACTTGCTCAAGAGCTACAGGCACAAGTGGAAAATTGACCCCAAAGATTTTTTTTTTTTTTTTTAAAGTAGCCGAAGTTTATAAAATTTCTGCCGACGCGGGGAGAGGGTCTCGGCAGCGCGGCGCTCCCGGCTGCCGCGGCCGGGCACCGGAGCTGGACACGTCTGCGGCCACCGGAGCGAGCATTCCGTGAAATCCCAGCAAGGTTTGCTTGGTGCCTCGGAGGGCTTTTGCTTTGTGTGTCTCTTGTTTGTTTGATTTGCGTTTTGTCGGGTTTTTGGTCGGGTTTTGTTTGTTTGGTTTTTTTTTTTCCCTTTTTTCCCCCCTTTTCTTTTAGCCAGCTAACGAAGCAGAATGGTTTCGCTTCCACCCCTCGCAGACAGAGCGGGAAAGCACT